TTTCCTGTTTTGAAAGATACTAACAGTTTAAGACAATTTCTATCCCCCCAAATGAGGAATACCAGGAAAATCAATGAGCTCTCTCATGCCGATAGAAACATTAAAGTTATCCCACTGTAATTCAAAAATGTCTCAATACAATAGATTCAAATTGAAAAATAAATAGAATGAACTTACCTTTGGGCACAGATTAAACAAGGATATTTCCCACTCATAAGGAGATTAAGAAAACTATGTCTTTTATAAGCATTTTAATGGGAAGTATTTAAATCTTGTACTAAAACATAACATACCAGATTTCTGGGGACCAGTTTACTTGAACTTTATACTGTAAAAAAAAAAAAAAAAAAATCTTTCTCCTCCTGCCTTATCAGCATAAAAACTTTACATGTTTGAATATAATAAAATTCAGAGAAGAGGTAATTTCCAGAAAAATGTATACTGTTTACTAGGGATAAAACCAAGACTCTTTTATAAAAAGTTATTTTTAAATATAATAAAATTCAATTGGGAATAACTTCCTTTTTGAAACAGCCTGCATAACACTGTAGGAAGGATCTCATTCACATTCCAGGAAGGTTCAATCATTGTATAGAAAGGTTACCATGCATTATGGAATTCTAACCATATCCCAGAACAAAGAGTCACAATAAAAAGAATATAAGTAAAAATTAAAGAAAAAAAGAAAATTGAACAAACTAACCATGGTTAGAGGTAGAAATAAAAAGCACAGAAAACAGGAAAAATAGTAGAACAAAGAACTAGGAAACAAATACAGAATCATGAAATACAGCGAGGAAAAGTAGTAAATTAAATATTTATATACATGCAATTTTACAAAGAGAATATGAGCGTGTAAAAAAACCCAACAACAACAAAGAGCAGTATACCTGAATCCTAAAACAAATTTTCAAGATCTTTTATAGATTCTGAAATTTAGAAAAGTTAAGAATTTCATTAAAGTGGCCACGTTTGAGATCTAGTGCTCTACATCCCCACATGGGGAACTTGGATTAGATTTTCAGTGCCCTGAAATATGCATTAGGCATGCTACAAAGGCAACATATTGCGACAGAGAGAGCTTGTTGAACAACTCCAAACAATTAAGTAGTATTGAAGTGTTCTGAAAGGATGCCCAGTTCAGCAGTCTCTTGACCAAAATTACGGTGGATGCTGTATCTGTTTAAATGATGGACAAACACTATGATGGACTTTCCTTTTTTTTTTTGAGTCAATAGGCATTCATAAATTTCTGCTAGCCAAACAAATTTAGGGCATCTGCTAAGACTATTCATTTTAAAAGCATTACTTTAAAAAGGGTCTAAACTGCCTGCAGTTTTTATGTCTTTTCTTCAAAGTGTATCATCAATATTTCCTATAATGCATATTAAATTTAGCTATGCAGAATCATAAACATATATATATATATTATAAGCTGAATATGAGTCAACATCCTAATATAGTTGCAAAACAAGCTGAATTCCAGGGGAAAGCAACATAAAAATTAGAGATCTAGGAAATATGATACATACACAAGGAAAGTTTGGAATAACTGGAGTTATTTAGTCTGAAGACAGAGTAGAAATTTGATAAGTCTTCAAATATAAAAAGGGTTTTTACAAAAAGAATGGTGATCAACTATTTTCTGTATCCACAAGGAGACAGGACAAGCATTAGTGGGTTAAAACTGAAAGAAGGGAGCTTTGGGGCTGCATATTAGGAGGAACTTTCTAACTTTGAAATGATAGTCCATTCTGAAACAAATTACCTAGAAAGGTTGTGGAAGAGGTATAAACAACTGGATATTTGGCTTAGGCAGGGATGAGCATGTCTTAGAAAAAGGAGCTGAACTAGATGACCTCTTGACCTTCCACCCCTATTTTCTATGATTTTAAGTACTGCACAAGCTATCATTCAGTCTACTGGCAACTCTCTATGACAGGGGTGGGCAACCATTTGGGCTAGAGGGGCACTTAGATGGTTTTGGTGAGCAGTTGCAGGTCAGATCAGCACCCCCACGCTGTGGCCTGTAACAGCTCACCAAAAATCCCTAAGTAGTAGATTACTAGACCTGGGAGCAGATTGTGGCTCTGGCCCCGGGCCCTGTGCTGTCACTGCTTAGCGATCCTAGTCCTGGGACCCCCACAGGCAGGGTACACTCAGCCAGGAGGATGAAATGAAGCTGCAGGAGGGTGGAAAGTGGCATCCAGTAGTGGCACAGGTAGGCAGGGGCAAGGACAGGGCCAGAATCAAGGGGTGGTGACAGTGTGGTGCCAGGCCCTGGGGCAGAGCCAAGATCCACTTCCCGCACGCCCCTGCCCATGAAACCAGCACCCATCACAGGGATGTGTGGCCAACAGATCATGGCACTGCCCTGGGCCCTGGCCCTGCGTTGTCATCACCCTGTGATTCTGGCCATGGCCCTGACCCCAGCCCTGGCCACCCGTCCAACTCCTGGAAGCCACTCCCCCACCACCCACGGCCCCTCCCATCTACTTGGCTGAGTGCACCCTGCCTGCATGGGTCCTGGCTGGTCTCCTTGGAAATCCCACCCACCCCCCCACTCCACCCAGCACCCCTGTTGGTGGTTGTGGGGCAGACAGATCAGAGTACCCAGGCAGTGCGGCCAGGTCCAGCAGTAGTAGCAATACTAGTGGCCAGAAGGAGCCACTGTGACTGCTGGGGCTGCTGGAAAGAACAGTACAGCCACCAGCCCTTCCCCCCCCCCCAGCCCTGCTGCATACTTGGGGGCAGTGGGACTGGCCACACA